TATAAAATAATGATCGTATATCAGTTGAGCTGTATGAAGAACGCTAGAGCTGTAATAACGGCGAATGAGTGGTCCGCGACAGCCGCATGCGGCGAATCGATTACCCAAAATCGTTCCTAACGCCCGTCTCCCCAATGGGAACACTGATGGTATGTGATAGGAAATGGTAAAAAATGATGTGAGCTGATAAGGAGTCTAGAAGGCATCCGGGATTGTTTGCTCACTTCGTGACAACGGCGAAACCTTCGCTTTTGAGTAGAAACCGACAAGGCATTACTGTATGGGTAGTCGGTTGTTAGCGATCAATGTTTTTTATTTGGTCTGACACAGTGGGATGAAAAAGCGCTAATACAAACTTTGCTGGTCCTCCTGGAACGACTTCTTCCCTAATAAATCCCTTTGCAGTCGCTGCACGACCTCCGGATCCGTTTTTGTTCTGAATGTGCTTATTTTCCAGAATGAGTTTGTGACGCCAAATTGGCGTATTCTAGAAAGAGCTTGAACTCACAATATAATCACCAGTAGTGATAATACCGCGCTGTGAGTCCACCGAGAATAAAGGTGAGCCTTTGAAGCAGGACTCAATTCCTTAAGCACATAAAATACTTATTTCATTAAACATAAATACTTCGTTACTATCAGTTGCACCACTTCGCCTCTTTTTTTGGATGAACGTCATTAACGTATCGAAATTTACCGGACTCGAGATTGGGTCCATCGCCTTTGCACAATGAGACGAAGTTATTCACTAATTTTGGACTCGCTTTATGATCAAGTCTTGCTTCGATTCTGAAAAAAATTTTTGGAGCCATTTTTCAAATTCGCGAGCATAAGCTCTATTTTGGCTCGTGACTCAAAATCTAAACCGATTGAGGCTAGCTCACAAGCAGTGACCACTGAGTGGCGGTATCCCCAAAATCCCACGGCGAGCGGCAGTGTATCCGCGGCGGCTACCGTATCCTTCTACTGTGATTTCGAACTTTTCCTTTTGTAGCACGCGACTGCGCGCGATCGGATGCGACGAGCGCGACGCGATTTTCGGGGGAAATATACCATACCCAAGTTGACTTGCTTAGATCTAGTGTGCTTCCCATACTAATTGGTTGCCAATTCAAAAGTCCGATTACCTGTTACAGCATGTAGAAGCTCACATTCTATGATAAGCAATCATATGCAATTTTATTAAATAAACCCCATGACGAACCACATAAGATAAACCAAATTCGTGGCCGGTCAATATGGG